ATCTGAATCAGATGCGAGCTTCAGGGTCGTAGCTATGTAAATTTTCATCTGACACATTCCATGTCACATGTGGATGATGTAGCCTCAAGCAGAGATGAATTTCAGACTACAGCCGTCTGCTAGGCTCACTTTTTCTGACGTCACACTTCCAGATTGTTTTCAAGCTCGTAGTCATTAGCATCAGCCAGCAATTTATGAGACTTGGCTCAGCTCCCTCTGGAGCATCAAAAGGCTTTATACGTCTTCTATGTGAAATATGTAGACCTCTGACCTGTCAACAGATTTTAAAGTGTTGTTCCCTTACACTCGTGTGCTGAGCTGTTAGTTGATATATATACAGACAAAACATGTGCGTAGGGGCCCGTGACTGCCAAAGGCCCTGTTGCGCAAACATATTTTTCCCTTCTGCAAATATAAATTGATACATTTGGTAATTATAGGCCTCAGTACTGTCGCAGTGCATAACAATCAACTCTCTGCCCTCCGAACATAAGATTCTTCTGTGTGCTTTTCCAGCACTGCCCAGTTGGCTCAGTTGGTTAGAGCTCATCTTTACCAACATCAGACAACGTTTTGCATCAGAAATGGAAACAGACCTGCTTATATGCGTAACTGTAGCAGCTTTTTGATGTAAAACACATTAGCAATCGTAAAGACATTTTACACAAAATGGACCAAACACATCCAATATATGTCATCCAGTCCTTTCTTTTTTAAATTTTTTTGAACCTTTGATCTGTTTTTTAATGTCTGGACTTGAGAAATTTTTGTTGAAATCAAGAGAAATCAAATGACAATTAAGACATGATGGCATTTCCAATTTTGTGAAAAAGGCTTTTTTCCTGTTTCAATATCACAATGCGTCTTGTGCCACATGTCAGGTAAAGAAAAGGTTTGGCCTTCTCAACCCTTTAACCCCATCCAAGAATTTTACAATGACCTGTATCGCCGCCTGTAAACCCGCTCTTATCGCCAAAATGCAATTGACCTTATAGATACTCTCGTTGCTGAACAGAGGCAAATCCCAGCAGCCAGGTTTCAAAATCTGGCAGGACTGAAAACAGAGAGTGGAGGCTGCAGCAAATAATAAATTGCTTTTTGTAGCTGTTAATGAGACTTGTGCAGTTCTCAGCTGGTGATTTGGCCCACTCCTTTTAAACAAAATCCTTCACCAGGCTTGATGGGTGCCCTTTTATTAGCTGTGAGTTTCAGCTTGTTTCATTCAGGATCTATCAGATTAATATCATGCATCATAGCAAGGCAATTCATAACAATTAGTCTTTGTTTTTCATCCATGTATGCAGGGAACATGACCTACAACTGAGGCAGACTCTATAACGCTGGGCTGATAGTTTTCCGATTTCCTTGTGTCCTGAGCCAACTGCTCCAGAGACACCAGATAACACAGCTGAGCCTCCTCTGTGTTTCACAGTAGGGGTGCTGTTTTTCTTCTCTGACAGATTCTCTTTTTATCATTGCATGAACACAGGACTTATGAAACTTGAAGTGACAAAAAACACTAATTTTGTTTCATCTGTTCCAGTGACATCCTCCCAGAAGCCTTGTCAACATGCATTTTAGCAAACTCCAGTTGGGTTTTTTATGTTTTTCTTTTAAATGTGAGGATTTTTCTTCCACAGAGCCCACTTTCCCTCAGAAAGCCACATACTGTGCAACCTTGAAGACTTTTAATTCACCACTCAAACCCTGCTTTAATCAGTCTGGTGGGTCAGTGTCTTGTAGCCTTTACCACAAGCATGCTTGTCAATTATTTTCCTTTCCTCAGTCAGCAACTGTCTTTAATTTATCTTGTTAGGATAAAGCAGTATGACAATGAATGTTTTTCCCTATTTAAAAAGCACTTTTTGCCATTGAAGATAAGTGCAATAATACTTAAGGACAATTGGAATTATTAAGATTTTTCTTCAAGATCTCACTTATAGTAAATAGCAGCCAGTTGCTGCTAATCAAATACATTTGATTCATCAATCATCAGCAAGTGTGGCCACCTCTGCAAAAGCAGAAGTTTGGTGAGTTTGCTGGTCTGGAGCATTCAGGTATGTGTTAACACATCTCATAATCTTCCCAGGAGTTGATGTGTCAGCAAATTCACCCCAAGGTCAGACTGTGGTTGGAGAAATAGCAAAAAACCCAAGAGCTACATGTCAGACTCTACAGGCCTCCGTTAGCATGTTAAATGTTAGAATTCATGACAGAATGAATAAGTATGGACAGTTTTGAAGGCTCTTCTCTACCAAAAAACAATATGGAAGAATGGGTCTGAACAAGCCACTTTTTCTGGAAGAATATTCTTTGAAAATATGAGACCAAAGTAGAATCATGATTCTGGCTGGTAATGGTTGAAAAACTGTAAATAATATTAATAATAATAATTTTTGTAGAGAACAAACAAATTCAGTTATGAAAATATTAATACATTACTGATTTGTGCATGAAATGTTTATATGCATGGTTTATGCATTAAGTTGTGCAGTGGTCCAATCAAAGCTCAGACCTCAACCTGACTAAAATGCAGTAGCAGGACTTTGAGATTGAGGTTTGCTGGCATTATTTAATTAAAAGTAATCTACTGAAACTAGCACTGTAAAGAAGGGTGGGCCAGAACTCTGTTCTCTGTCAACGTACGTACTAAAAAAATCTCAGCTATGGGTGTAAATATTGTAGTAGAAAGATGGCGAAGCCAAACACCTGCTAAGTGTCATTGGAAAGTGATTGCACATTAAAGTCACTCCGACACAATGTTTTAATTATTTATTTATTTATTTATTTTAGCAAAGACGGGAAGCACTATCTAACCACATGCTCTCAAAGTTTTTACAGCTCCGCGGGCTTTTCTCTTTTACTCAAGTAGGTTGAAGTTACATGAACATGATAAACTGATGGTTTGCCCAAACATCTGGCTTTTTTTTTTTTAAAGTGATTCATTGGAGTGACTTTTGTGCACAAACTGACATTATTTCTTTTTTGAACATGCTGCGTCCTATGTTTTGGTGGTATTGTTGGTTGAAGTTAGCTCATGGCACATATGATATAAGTCCTCTGGAGTTCTTCCTATGAAGGTGCCAAGGAAGACCTAATAATATGCTAACTACCCAGTTAGGTACATTGAGTACTTGTTGATCTTATTAGATAAAGTTTGCTTATTTTGAACAATGACAGAACATTTAACCAAAGACATGAAGATGACTTTGTAAGTGCAAGTAAGTAGAATTAGCAGTTAACATCACTAGTTTTGAAGTATTCTCAAAGTAGGCTACTTGTAAATTAATTATTTTGCACACAAAGAGAGTGTCCTGCATAGTTCCAAAGGTATTGCATTTCAAAGTAGGCCTAAGCATGCTAAAAGATAATGGAAATCATTAAAAGTTTTTATCAAGTTAAAATTATTAGTTGCACCTCACCTTAACAAAAAGGCTCAAATATGTTTTAGTTTGAATTTGTTTCACTAGGAATTGCTTGAAACTGATGGTAAGGGTTGCTGACACCAGTGGTAGAAGGGTGGGTCATCCATACACCTGACAAACGTTTAACAAATATACTCTGTGTTAATGCCTTCTATGGATATATTATTATACAATGACGCAAGTGTTTGTGTTTTTTAGCAAGCACTGTCTTATAGTTCTTTTTTTGGTTTAGTTGTGATTAGCTTGTGTTAGACTACACAAAAGGAAATATCTGCAGCTTGTTTTTCATCATCAGTGTTCTTCACGCTTGATAGAACGATAGTTTGCCCAATAATCAGCAAGTTATGTTTTTGAAAGTGCCTGCCCTTTTTCAAACTGTTTCCAAGCAGGATTTCTGTGACCAGCCATCTGGTGTGTCAGACACAAAGAAGGAAGCATTTGGTTACATTTGTACATGTCCCAAAATTGCGTACACACAACATTATAAATGAATGAATCTGAATTTAACTGGGTAAAACTGGCAATTTACTGTGTTCCTGGTAAAAACATTTTTACATATAAATCTCTTACATATAAATATTTCTACAGGACGCGAGCGGCTTTCTAGCTTTGAGTGCTTCTGCTACAGAATTTATTTTTGTCAGAAAATATGCATTTTTCAACATATTTTGTTTCTAATTGAGCCTGAAGACAGTGAAAACAGCAGTTTCTGTTCAACCTACTCTCCATGCTCCCTGTGCACAATGAGCCACTGCTGAGGTTTTCTTAACACATTGTTGAGTAGTTTCTGTGGTTGGAGCAAAGGAAGTGGACCATAATGTAGTGCCGCTGATGCACCGCGAAGTCTATTAACTCATTCACCATAAAGTGCCTGCCTGACTCGAGACATCCATCAACCCTTTCTGCCAAGTGCGGGGAGAAAAGTCAAATCACGGAGGCTGTAAGAAGCTGACTTCAGGGCCGAAAAATCACACGCACTCTTTGTGAAACTAATTCCATATGGTTGAGTTTTAATGTCAGAAGTTTCTTTGTTGGTTTTTAAAGGTCACTGAAGCAAATTACTGAGAACCGTTGATTCAGTAATGAGGTGAACTTGAATCGTCACACTCGCTGCATTTGTTACTTCCATACCCTAAACACGCTCACACACAGATGGAAACACTGTATGCATGTACACACTAACATAGCCCAAGGTGTTGAACATGTTGAATTTTGCTGCTATTTTAGTCATTGAACATGATGGTCGCAGCTGTCGGTGGGCCCTCTGGACACATGCACACACAGCCACACATGCATAAGGTCTCAATCCCAAAGCAAGCACGGATCATCTGAGGGAAATCTATGAATTCCCAGGCATGTTTTTGCCCCTAGTTTGCGATCCAAGTTTGAAAAATTATTAAAATATTTTCGAAATGAGCGCTGTACTCTTTTTGTCTTCATTTTCTTTATTGTTTCACAGGCAGGGGGAATTACAGGGATGTGGTGGTAAAAGGTATCGATTCACAGTTTCATGGACTGGGCTTATGAAAGCAAGTCAAAGGAAGAGAAAAACAGTGACAACAAGACACTCTGATATCAAGTCCACTGATTTATTTCCATTTTCAGAGTAATTCGTTTTTCTCAATGGATTTACTAGATCTATTATATTAGCAGGGTAATATCATTGAATATGAGTTTGCAGAAATGAGATTACACAAACAAATCAGCTAAATATTAGTTTATCAGATCTCAAGACAAAACAGGATAAAATGCTTTCTGAAGAAACTGAAATAATGCCTTTCGAACCCATTAATTGATGACCGGACCTTTAAAAGAACATACAGTGTGCACAACAGCTCAACAAGAGGACATAGTAGGTGGGCGTGGGGGTTTGTTTACTAGCTAAAATAGCATCAGAGTACATGATACAAAAACTGTGCCTCATTCAACTGAGGGTTCTCTACAAAAATAACAGCTTTTTTTTCTTCTTTTCTAATGTACACAGTTTATCACAATAATACAGAAAACCTATGTTCATAGCGAACATATGGTTTCATACCCCGTGTGGTGCACGGCTACAAGGAGAGGACACCTTGCTGTGTCATCACACTAGCTATAATTCTCATGTTTTCTTGCACACACTGCTGCAAGAAGAGGAATAAGTTTTGAGGTTTGCTACTGTTCGTAAGCTGCATGTATGTCACCGCAGGCACCTATAGTGTCACTGCAGAGACATGTCTAACCTACCAAAGGTGAGGAGGCAGCATTTACTTAATGATGAGCTCTGGGAAAAACAGCAGAGCAGGCAAGGCAGGCAAAGACTGTTCCTATTAAGCTGTGTGTGTGCGCGCGCGTGTGTGTGTAGGTGTGTGTGTGTATGTGTGTGTCTGCGTGCGTTCAAGTTTCTGGGATCAATAAGACCAATATATTTTACAGAGCATGCCTTAAGATTTTAGTGAGAATAAGGATGCCAATCTGCCCATGCATATTTTTATTTGTTTTTATTTTGTCATAGACGCCTGCACCAGAATAATCCATATTCGCTGAGATGAATAGGTGCTGCCAGTGATGCCCCACAGCAATCGCAGCCAGATGTTCAGCTTCAGAGGAGCGAGAGAAAAACAATGTGTAAGTAGGTGTGGGCGTTTCTCCGCTCTTCCTTCCTCGTTACTCCTGCCATTCACGCCTCTGAAAGTCTGAGTGTCATGCAGTCGGGAGCGGCTCTCCGGATTTACGAAGAAGCGGCGCATTTTGTTATCTGAGACAAATTTCTCCTGCACTTCAGCCGAGATCATTTAAATGCGACAGATTTAAACAAAGAATAAGGGTAGAGCTACGCCTTTTCCGTATGTACTGTGTCGTATCCCTCTGCTTTAAAGGAAAAATCCACCCTGAGGCGTTGTTCAGATAGAAAAAGAAAGAACACTTTGAACATCCTGCGTTTGAGTGAAATGATGTGACTGCGCTTGGGTTATTTTGTCACACACCACAGAGTGGAAAATCACCTGTCAAAGTGCAACAAGCAACCAGTGAGTGACAACAGAGGGGTGAGAGTGTTAATTTAAAAAAATGGTTATTTTTTCATTACCTGTCAGTCAAATCCTCACATCTTTCTACGTTTCATCGCGGCTCTGTCTCATGGGGAAAACCCCTGTTGGAGTCAACTGTGTCCTGCGGCGTGCTAAATCACTCATTGTGTGCGTTTAGGCCTAAATGGGTGAGTCACTAAATGCAAAGTTAACCACCTCTTCGGGATGTTTGTAGTTCAGCTGCAGTGGAGTGAGACGGGAGAAAATCAACAGTCTAAAACGTCAAGCGTAAAGGTCAGACGCTGGAGCCAGTTCATCAGAAACAAAGAGCAAAGGCTTATTTCTGAACTTAACATTTTGTTCTGACGTTCAGCCGTCACAGCCTAAAGACACACTGCAGTACAGACTCACAATTTATGTTATACCATAGACGATAGTATATAAAAGATGGACGTGGTTTCGTGGTCTAAAAGGGGAAACGTTGGATTTTCTTAAAGCAGGTAGTATATGGTAAAACAACCCTAATCCTCACCTGATTTATGACCTCTGATTATTTTATTATCTCAATAGCTAGTTTCAAGCCTTACTGAATACAACATGTCGTTCGTTTAGTAACTTATGGTTGCATTTAGAGTCAAACAGTTCATAAACCAGGGTATGTTTTAAGGCCAGAGGTGGGCAATTTAACTTTCCAAGGGGCCACAAGAGACGTTGGGTCTGCTGGAGGGGTGCACCAATAGGCTTGTAAAGACTTAAATGAATATTGAAAAGAATTGAGTTCAACTTATTGGTGCAGCTTTCCACTGTGTCTCGTGTGGTCCCATGGGAAAATGCATAGCCCACTCCTGATTTAGCCAGTGCCAGAATATAAATAATAAAGTGTGACAAGGGGTATTTTACAACCATGCATGCATAGGACACAGAGAAATGGAGCTATAGTTGCAAAGTGCAGAAATATCTGTCTTTGATGGCGTGTTGTGGAAAACAGGAAAGTAATTTTTCCTACGTGCAGAAGTGGATTAATGAACTCGCTGCACAGAATTACAGTCGGGGTCACAGAGAGAGCGCAGAATGTGCTCAACACATTTCCATTTGTTTTGCGATTTTTGAGTGAGATCATGCTTTCAGTTACAAAATTGTAGGATTTAATGTAGCTGAGGGAGCGCACAGTTGCTACCTTATAATAGATATACAAAGTGCTGCCATGTGAGCATGTATTTCTTAGTATGAAGTCTTGGCAATGGCCAAAAACGCTTCAGTCAAGGTTTTAAGATTTTACAAAGCATTATGTGAAATCATTGTGGGTTTGTTCATCTATTATTTACAATCAATGGCTTTTGCTGTAATGGCAGCATTAGCAGTCCTATATTGATTCAGAAAATAGAAAATAATCATTAACATTTTACATTTTACTGTAAGTTGTGTTCGTGTTATCCACTGATTTTCCAGCTATTCACACCTCCCCCTTTTTTAAAATTTAGTACTGTAAGTTATAGGGTAATACAACGTAAAACAAAGACTATATTTTTGATACATTTATAAATTTACTTATAAACAAATAAATAAATTTAATCACTTTATTGCTATGTAGGATTTAGGACATGGCTTTTCTGTAATTTCAGATGTCAATGTAAACTCTAGACAAATTCATCTGCAAGGTTGCTCTTAAGTGTTTCTTGTGTTTCTTTCCCACACGACTGGGTCAAACTTGTCTGATGCTTGGTTCCGAGATACCTGTTGTTAAGCTTTGATTGGTGTACATACAGACTGCTCTGCGACCTGCAGTTATCCCTAACACTCATCTCTAAATACAGGGAAACCAACATCTTTCTCTGCTGCTTTAAAATCTCATTGAGCCAAGGTTTTCAAAGGGCGACCCACAGGCCAGTGGCAGTCCTTGGTGACATTAGGTAACAACAAGTCAATTCTAGGTAATAACAAATCAGCTTAGAATTACCATCAGGAAATCTGCTCATCCTTGAGCAAATGCAGATGTGTTTGCTGCATCATGTGCTGGCTCCCTAAATTGGCACTTTTAAAACCTCTCTCAAAGAAGGTTTTTTTTCTCTTTGCACTTCCTGAAAATCATTATTCATCTGTTTTATTGCTGTACTGGACAGTAAAATGAAAACATAATTTTGAAAGATAGGAGAAAGAAAGACAATTTTGTTACACAGAGTCTCTTAAGAGACCTTTTTTTTGGCTCATGCTGCATTCACATCGTGTTGGACCCTGAAAATTTCCTGTTATTCTGACTAGATAGTGTTCACATTATCTCGGCCTACTTATGCTTTCACGCCCTGAACATATTATCTGTCTATTACTATGCCAGTCTTGTAGTATTCTACCATTTTAGCATATATTAACTCTGCTGGACCCACAATGGGCAAATTTACTGTTAAAGCAGACTAAAGAGATATCATCTTTTTTAATTCCATACATTTTCTTCCTTGTCTTACTCTGATTCCTACATTACCCACAGTGCCGAGTGACTGCAGATGGTGCACTTCAAGGTTTGGGTATGTTATGCTAGCATTGGATCCTTTAGCTCCAAGCCTACAGCTTTAGGCAGCGATGAGGAATGGGCTACATGTGCCTGCTGCTAAGCTCAGTTCTTTCCAAACTCCACACCCCCAGATTTTATTCAGTTTCAAACTTTAGTCCCAGCCAGTTGACTCAAGGGCAACTCCACAAGACCTGTAAACAGTCTTTGATGTGTAGAATTTGTGGAGTTCTCCTTTAATTTTGCGCTTTATTTAGCTCCAAGTTAAAGAGGATTTGCTGCCATTAGTTCTATACAAATATCTGAGATTCTGTCTAGAATATCTACGATTTTTCAAGTTTGTTTCATTATGGTGTGGATGTGTTTTTCCTGTCTGTTAAATGGTGGATGCTTATACAGTACTAAACAGGGTCCTTTGAACAGTGAATCACACAGAGCTACTCCAGTATAGTTTAAGAATAAAAACATGTAGGTTTAAACTAAGTGAATGTGGCAACAGACTCATATTTTGTTAGTGAAATCTAACCAGAAAATACCCTTTTGTATTTGTTAAACGATGAAGCTTTCTAATTATGCAAAACAGCAAAGTAGCAAAAAATTGCGTGTTTAATGTTTTTAGAACTTTGGGTTTCTTTTGAACCCATTCTGGGAAAAACAACTTCCTGTTGTCCTGTGCAAATCTTGAATGCCATCAGCTCTTGATGGCCAGCGACCCGGAACATACAAATTAATTTAAAGAAAAATTCCCGCACATCTACGATGACAGACTGAAGAAATCTGAGCATGCGAGGGTGAATTCATCCTTTAAAGTCACAACATTTTCTAACGTGCCTCATGAGCAAATCGCCAGCTTAAAATGCAAAACAGCAGCTCTGACTGATTTCTGCTGAGGGAAACGAGCCCAGCTGTGTATCCCTACCACGATCCCGCTGGCTGCACACCTGAGGCTCATTTCAAGTGGGATTGCAGTTGATGAAGATAATTAGCCATCTTTATTGTTTTTCAGATGTGTGAATCAGTGCTTGAGTGTTTGGACGCGGTGATGAAGTTTTCCAGAGGATTTGACTTTAAGAAGGATCAGTTTTGTGTTTTTACTCAAGAGTTCCTGAAATTCCTCACATTTCAGCTACAGTAAAAGTATGCAAGCGATGACACCCAAAGCTGTTTGCACCCACCTGACAAGTAATTTTTTGTATCACAAATGTGAACATGTACCACTCTCAATTCTTTCTTTTTGTTCCTCTTTTTCAGAACAATAACTGCAAGGGCAAAACTGCTGGATGTGGAGTGGGGTACAGAGATGGGTGGTGGCTCTGCACAGGGTGAAATGCTGCTGCTAAGGGATATGGACCAGGGGCATCCAGGAGAGGGATGGGAGAAGATGCATAGAAAGTGGGAGTAAGAGCGGGAGGAGGAGGTAGTGGTGGTGGAGGTGGTGGTGGAGGGATGGGAGATAAATGTGGGGAGAAAGAGGGAATAAGATGAGGGTAGGAAGGAACAGGGGAGGTGTGGTGCGGGTGGGAGGAGGGAAAGGTGATGTTGGATGATGGTGTGATGGAAGGAGATAGAGGAAGAGGAGGATGATGAAAAGGATGGCTGGAGCAGGAGAGGAGGATGGAGGTGGATGCATGATGGAGGGAGGCGATGAGGAAAGCGGGGCATCTTCTCTGGGAAGAGAGGTTCAAAATCTATCTCCCTCTCCTTACTTCTTTCCTCCCTTTCCTTCTCCTTCCTCCTCACCCATTCCTTCTCCCACTCTTCGTGCCTCTCCTTCAACTTTTTCCTCTCCATCTGTTTCTCCTCCTCCTTCTTTCTCTCCTTCTCCACACCGCTTTCATCCTCCATCTGCTCCCTCACGGGTGCAACTTCTTCATTCACAGCATTAGCACAGTGATTACAATCAGTGACATGATTACCGTTAAAATCGTCACACTGACCACCGTCAATATCATCGGCTCCACCTCCAACACTTTGCTGAATCCCTACGCCGCTTTTGTAATCAATCACTGAATCAGAGAGGCTGCTTTTGTGTCGAATGTGGCACTGAGATTTGGCTTTCTCCTCCTCGCTGTGGTCACTTTTGTTATTTTTCTGGCTGTAATCGCAGTTATGACTAAATGCGTCATTGGCTTTGGAGTCATTAGACTCTATTTCATTCACTGTGTTTTTACATTGACAGTGGTCAGTGTGTCTGTTATTAGTGCTACAGGCAAAATAATCTTCAGAAAGGCCATCCACAGGTGTGTCTGCAGTTTTCTCACTGGCTTTTTTAGCCACGTGACCATGACAAAGACTTTTGTCTTTCTCAAAAGTAGCACTAGAGATGGCAGAACTGTCACGCTTATTTTGCATGGTGCCCTTTCCATCATCCTGACTGTGGTCATTGGGTTTGTTATTGGTATGACAGTCACTAAAAGGTTTCTCCGGTGAACACTTCACCTTTTCCTCGCCTCCAGAGGGACCGACGTTAAACTGGCTGTAGTCATTAGCGTCTGCATTGCTGAATTTGCTGTCATCAGAGCTGCAGTAGTTATCGAGTTTGTCAGCAGTGTTACCCTCCCTGGTATTTGAACACAGAGAGTGTTTTGTCCTGCAGAGCAAATGGCAGTCAACAGTTTTGTCCTCTGAAGTGTTGCAGGTGTCCTTGCTATTGAGTTCAAGCGCCTCGTTACCATCCTGAATGCAACAGGCCTCGCCCTCGTTTAAATCCGAAGTCATATCAGTGCAAGCTCCGTCTTGCCTTAAAACACTAGCGACTCTCCTCGCCTGTCTCCTTCCCCTTTTCCGTTTCTTCCTCGGCGTTGCCCCAGCCTCCGGCGATCCGCTCTTCCTCTTGCTGGCTGTTGCTGCTCTCTTCGACATCCCTTCCTCTGAAAGCGCATCGGCAGGGAGGGTCATGTCTACACAGGCCGGCCTCAGTCTGGGCTCTGTTTCTGTCTGTTGGGCAGAGCAGCATGTGGTCGGGCTTGACACAAGATTGCTGTGTCCTGCAGGTATTGTTTGTCTTTGACTGCACGCTGTTTCTCTAAAAGGAGCAGGGACAAGGCTAATCGTTGGTTTGCATGCTGTTTCTCTGTGAGGTTTAGGAACAAGACAAATTTCTGCCTGGCTTGCAGTGTCACAACAGGAAAAAGGAAGACAGCTAATCGCTGGGTTACATGCGTTTTCTTCAGCTTTCGGAGCAGCGCTTATCTCTCCCTTACTCAGATTCCTTTGCTCCTCATCTCCCTGTCTGTCCTCCTTCCCTGCTTGTGTATTTTTGTGTATCACCCCCATCTCTCTGTCATTCTGAGCAGGGTCGGGTGTAATTGCAGGACAGCATGGCATCTCTATAACAGACCCTGGGACGAGGCTAATCACTGAGTTACATGCTGCATCCCTGCAGAGGAGCTTTCTGAGCCCCTGGCCCCACCCGGAGGCTGATTGCTGAGATTGATGCTGGCTGGCCTCCCTTTTCACCTGCAGACACAGCTGGTTACACCGATTACACCGATTCACAGGAAGATTACTTAATAGCTCCACTCTCTTCTCGTCATTTCTACCTGCCCTCTCTTGCTCTGTCTGATCTCGTCTTATCCTTCTCTCTTCTCCCCTCATCCTCTTTTTTATCCCTCCCACCAGCCGATGTGCTGCAAGATTACTTAATAGCTCTTTTTCTCTCTTCTCCTCTTTTACGGTGCCCTCTCTTTGCAGCCTGTCTTCTCCTTTTCCTTCAAACATCTGATTCACACAAAGACTGCTTATTATCCTTTTTCCCCTTTCTGACTCTTTTCTGTCTGTTTCCTCTCCTCTTTTCTTTCTCCCCCTTTTTCTCATTCCTCTCCTTACCCCACCCCTCCTCTTCCTCCTCCTCCTCCCTGATTTTTGAAGGCCTAGCGTCGGAGCATGGTGGCCTTCTGCAGAAATGGGAACAAATTTTAAAGCGCTTTCATCATGGCAGCTGGAGCGATCCGGAACTGCGTCGCTACCGCTACAATGGGCTACAAGTTCCATAGGATTTCCTGCCTGTCCTCCTTCATCCTCTTCTTCCCTTTCATCTATCTTCACCTCCTTTCCTCCCTTCATATCCTTCTGCCTCTGTTGGCAGTCAGGTTGTTTGATCACAGATGGCTTTATTCTCTCACCCCCTTCCTCCAGCCCTCCTTTCTTTTTTTCACCCCCTTCCTTGGCCCTGTTATGCGCTCTGAAGTCATAAAGTAGAGGATTGACACTGTAGGAAATGGAGGGCGAAGTTTTGGTGTAGCTGACCATCTCCGTTGGCCACAGAAGAACCCTGCTACCATCTCGGCTCAGGACACGACAAAACGGCTCTTTGGGACGACTTGGAGGCAAAGAAGCCGACTCTTTTGATGGAGCGGAGTTTGACTGGGGAGATTGGGGATTGGGGAGAGGAGTTTGCTTGGGCTGTGCTTGAGCTGACGTGGTTTCAACACATGAAATTGATTTTTTAGGCTCATTTGTTGTAGGACAAGCCAGATCTTTTACTTCTTGGGGTTGGGTTAAATCTGTCTGATTTTCCACAGCATCATGGATTTCAACTTTGCTGCTTCCGCATTCTGAATCTGTGCTTACACTTTCAGAAATATGTCCTGAAATGCCACTGTTTAAATAAAAATGAGCTCTAGTCCCACTTTCACTGCTGACTTGGGCTCCAGTCCCATCGTCCTTACATAAGGAGAGCTGGGCTCCATTCCCATTGATAATTGAGTCCTCTACTCTGATCACATGGCGATTACATAAAGAAACCTGGGCTCCAGTCCCAGAGAGTCCCACAGTTCTTTTCTCAGTAGACATAATGGCTCCAGCCTCAACGGGTCGAGTTTCAGTTTTACTCTCCTCACTGCACTGGTTTCCAGTATTCCAGTGATTTACACCAACAGCAACCATGTCTGCGGATGATTTGAGCTGCTGATCGGTGACTTTCTCCCCCAGATTTGTTTTCCTGTCATGCACTGCCGCACCTTCTTGCTTCCCTGACAAGCCAGAGCCCTGCCCTGCTTGGATAAATACGGCAGCTGATTGGTGTAAGAGGACACAGCTCCTTTTGGGGAGCGAGAAAGAGACAGGGCGGACTCTGCTCAGGATAGACTGGACGTCAGAGGCTCTGCATACTTCCCTGCTGCTGTTGATGCTGACATTGGTGGTATTAGTAATGGAGGGGGTGGTGGAGTTCTTGCTGATGCTGGTCACTGTGGTTTTGTTGAAAATGGAGCCATTATGGGTGGCGCCAGAGGCTGTTGTTGGGATGTTATTGGGAGTAATGGGATGGCTTAAATAATCATGAGCCCAAGGGATCTTGTTAAAGTGGCTGTTTTCTGTAGAGCTGTTGGTATCACTGTTTGTCAGGGTGGTGCTGATGCTGGGTGTAATGGTTGGCAGTTGACTGTAATCCAGATGGGTCTTGTCAAGCACGCAGGAGTCAGAAGCAGCAGTAGTTGTGGTGCTGTTGGCGTCTGTTTGCTCATAGGTCCACTGTGTTTTGCTCAGGAGTGCGGTTTCCAGAGGAAGGAAGGGCTGTATCCGGGGGATCTGAGACTCTAGATGGAGAGGGGAACAGAAAGGATTATAGCAGCTGACACTGGTTACATTTACATGTAGAACATAACAGGATTATGTGTCGAACCTAACTATAAAGAAAAGAGTAGGAAGGGATACAAAATACCCTTCCTACAAAGAATACCATTCATTTTTAAGGCTTCCTATACAGTAATCTCCTTAGGCTTTTTTGAGCATTTTGGTACCGCACCATTACTCTTTTGTTGCTTTCAGCACGTCTAAATATGATTTATGGATGTAGGATGGACTTAGGAAAAAATAAGTGCAGATTTGAATGTGTCTCACTTAGAAATGGCAAAAAATAAGACTTGTGTAATATGTGTAATATCCATCTTTTTACAGCCATTATGGGGCTCACCGTGCTGTCAGACATTCGTCTGTCTATACGTCAGTTTGGTGAGAGATTTAGAGAAATTGTTTGTTGAGTGAAGGTTTTAAGATGAATCATAACTTTAAAAGTGATCTATAATATGCTACATCAGAAACCTTGTTTGTAAACTGTTTGAATTTTAGAAGGGGAATTATGAGTCTTCCTACTCTAAAAGTGAAATGTATTTAGGACTTCAACTCCACTTAAATTCAACCCTTCTTGAACTTTTGCACTGATTTCAAATTTAAAATGAGAAGAGGAAACATATTGAACGCGTTGCTGTTGCTTACTTTTGATCTTATTGAGTTATTCTCACAGCATTTCTATTGAGACATTCACATACACTGTGAATGTGTTGGACAAAATACTGTAATCTCAAGTACAGTATAATAAAATAATAATAACTTATCTCAAGTGCAGTTTTCTCCCTCTTAACTAAAGGAGAAGTAAAGTAAAAAGTAGTAAAAACTCTATAATAGTAAGCAACTTGACCCAGAAGCATCCTTTAGTTATGCTGCTATAGGGAGGTTGCTGGGGATTTCCCATGATGCACTGACTACTTCTTCTCCAGGCCCTGCTACCACAGCATGTCATTAACTCTTGTATTTTTCTTTCCCAGAGTTTGACTGATGTTTTTGTTGTTCATGGACTCTCTATGAGGAGCTACAATCTTTTCTGTCTTCTATATTCTCATGGCTGCACCTCCTCTCTCTCTACTTCTTCCTGTTACAAAGAAATTCCTTCACTGGGACTCTCCACCATTTGACCTTAGAACTGAAGAAGCTTCTCGGATGAGAGGTGAAACGTCTTCAAGTAACTTAAAGAAGTCCAGACGCTTTTCTTTGCAAGCTCCTTTGACTCCTTCTCCCCACCTTCACCAAATGCTTGTTCATATCATCTGGGATCATCTGATCATTTATAATTTGAGTTTTTACCTTACAAAACAAGCCGCCTTGAGACAAGTATTCTTGGTGCTATATCAGTAAAACCGGTGCTATACATGAAACTAAATTCAGTTGGAAAAATATTTTTGAACAAGATACGAAATCTTAAGTTGCGATAGTTATATACCTTCCACCTGTGTTGCTTCCCGTTTCTTTCATTATTCTGTTCTGCTACAGTGTTTCCTCTATCTCAGGTCCACCAGGTAGACTAATTAAGGATTACCCTGCCCCTGCTTATAGGAGGCTGGGAGAAGGGTCTCACTGTCTCCCAGACCAAGTAGCTCTCCAGCATCCCTGCTTCTTTGCTTATTTTCTGGTTCAGGACTCATTGTTTGGCTTGCCCGGACTCTTTATATACTTTTTGTTTCTTTTTTTGCCAAACTTCTAGACATTTACTTCCCATTTTTTCCTGGTAAACTGAAGTTCAGGTGTTGTTCTACTGGGAACAGCAACTTTGTAATGTGTTAAGGTGAGCATTTTTGTTTTTCATCGTAACTATGATAGTCAAGCCACTTCCTTGCAGAGGACAGTAAAAGCAGAGATATAAGTGCTAAGTAAATGCCACCATTTATGCTCAAGCTCCTTAATGCACAACTAAAATATCCCCAGTGTCTGCCAGAGCAAAATATAAACTGTAAAATGCTCATATGATATGATTTATTCTGGAGTCTTAAGCCATTCCATTCGCACAAAGGTCAGCACTGCTGAGATGGGTTGGAGTTGGTCAACAGCAAGAAATTGTGTGTCAAGGTTCATCAATGTTGAACACAGGGCAAAATGTCTGTGTTGATTTATTACAGCAACTCCAGTGATAGCTTAATTTTCCCTAATATTCACTGCAACTACAGAGACCCTAAAGCATCATTTTATTCAGTGTCTAACCAACCAGATTAGGTGCTTGTTATGTTGTACTCCACTCCTCCTCAAACCACACCCTCTCATATGTGTGCATTTCAGGTCTTATACATTGGAAAAGAAGTGAAAGCTCTGACATCAGAGTCTGCTGTCAACAGAGATATTTCAGTGATTCTGCAGCAGACCACACGCTATTGAATCCCTCAATATCAAGAGTGATATCCTCATCACCCAAACCAAACACATACTCATAAAGTATTTAAGAAGCCTAGTACATGCCTTTTTAAGTGGATAAAAGCTCTTACTTGTTCCCAGTGTGGTGTTGCTTGGATGGATATTGCTGCCGTTCTGCACAATCTCTGGTCTGGACTGTTCGGCTGAGTCGACAGCCACGGTGGTGGACCGGAACATGGGACCAGAACCGGGAGCACTAAGGAGAGGAGGATACAAAGACCAAAGCGTTAAAAGACCGCGAGAACAGGATGCAGCAATAGATCAGAGAATGAAATAAACAGAATAAATTAAAAGAAGAGAAGAGAGAAGAGTACAAAGGAAAAAAGGGAGAAGGGAAAGAAAATGGGAAACGTAGACAAAAAGATGAAGGTAATGAGAGAAAAATGACAAAAGAAAAGATAAGGAAATCAGAAAGAGGAAGATAAAAAGAGATGGAGAGGAAAAGGTTAGAAGAAAGAAAATGCAAGGAAAAGAAAATGAGGAGACAAGAAGAATCAAATGATGAATAAGAAGAGATGTGAGGAGAAAATGAAGTGGAAACAAAGAGGAGAGGAAGCAAGGAGATAGGAGGGAAAGATTAAAAAAATAAAGGCAAAGAGGACAATAGAAATATAGATGGGAAACTGAAAGGAAAAAAATGAAGAGTGGAGGAAACAAGAAGATGAGCATTGAGGAGGGCAAGAGGAGAGTAGAGCTGAAATCCAGCTGAAAATCAATTTGGCCACGCTTCTCTTCTCTCTCCTTTTGTGCCAGGAGCCAAACTGCATTGTTGCAAATCTGAAAATGGCTATGACAGCCGATACTGATACATGTACCCACTCTCCTACCTCCCTCGCTTCCCCCCCTTCCTGACACCATGACATCCCCTCCTCCAATCCCTCTCTCAGCAGCAAGACATCTCCCCCCTCCCCTCTGCCCAAACATCTCCCAGTGTCACAGTGGATCAGGTCAGGAGGCAACTGAGGAAGCTTCACCCCAGAAAGGCAGCAGGCCCAGACAAGGTGTGTCCTAGGATGCTAAAGGCGTGTGCTGCTGAACTTGGGGAGCCGCTACAACGAGTCTTCAACCTCAGTCTGCGACTGGGGAGAGTGCCCGCCCTATGGAAGACATCCTACATCGTCCCGGTCCCCAAAAAGAACCGGCCCAATGAGCTGAATGACTTCCGACCGGTGGCACTGACGTCACATCTTATGAAGACTCTAGAGCGGCTCTTCCTCAACTTCCTCCGACCACAGGTACAACATGCCCAGGACCCACTACAGTTTGCATACAAGGCGGGTGTCGGAGTGGAGGATGCCATCCTGTACCTCCTACACAGAGCCCACTCACACCTGGATGGGGGAAAAGGCACGGTCAGGATACTGTTTCTTGACTTTTCCAGTGCCTTTAATACCATCCGGCCCTGTATGCTTCAGGAAAAACTGAACAGGATGGAGGTGGACCCCTGCCTGGTGGCTTGGATCTCCGACTACCTCACCGACAGACCAAGTACGTCAGGCTGAAGGACATCACGTCTGACACTGTGGTCAGCAGCACAGGAGCACCACAGGGAACTGTGCTGTCCCCTCTTCTCTTCACCCTGTACACCTCTGACTTCTGCTACAACTCTGAATTATGCCACATTCAGAAGTTTGCAGACGACACAGCCATCATGGGGTGTATCTGGGATGATCAGGAAGAGGAGTACAGAAGTCTGGTGAGGAACTTTGTCGCATGGAGTCACACAAACCACCTGCAACTCAACACCTCAAAGACTAAGGAACTGGTTGTGGACTTCGGGAGGTCTAGAGCAGGTCCACTGCCGGTTCAGATAGAGGGGGAGGAGGTGGAGGTGGTCAACAAGTACAAGTACCTCGGGCTGTGGGTGGACAATAAACTGGACTGGTCATGCAACACAGAGCACCTGTATAAAAAGCCCAAAGCCGACTGTACTTCCTCAGGAGGCTGAGGTCTTTTAACATCTGCAGGAAGCTCCTGAGGATGTTTTACCAGTCAGTGGTTGCTGGAGTACTTTTCTATGCTGTGGTGTGCTGGGGGAGCAGCACAGCAAAGAAGGACTCATCCAGGCTGGAGAAACTGATCAGGAGGGCTAGCTCTGTGATCGGCATGAAGCTGGACACTCTGGTGACAGTGGCAGAGAAAAGGACATTAAAGAAACTGATGGACATTATGGACAATGCCAGGCATCCTCTGCACACGGCCATTAACAACCAGAAGAGTCTGTTCAGTGACAGGTTGCTTCTCCCAAAGACAAGAACTAACAGACTTAAAAACTCCTTTGTCCCACACGCCATCAAACTGTTTAACTCCTCTCTGGAGGGGAGAGGGAGGGGAGACAGGAGGACAAAGGAGGGGGGAACAACTAAGCTGTAGTGCCTCTTCACCTCACTGTGCAATACTTTTCCTAATAGTCAACGATGCAATAGACTCAATACTCGAAATGTGCAATTCACTTGTATTTTATTTTTATTCCTATTTATTATATTTATCCCCTTCGTATATTTTATTTATATTGTCTCTGTATTTATATATATGTGTGTGTGTATAACTCTGTAACTTCTGTCGGTGCTGTGCTTTTTTGGAAATCGAATTTCCCAGAGGAACCCACCCGAGGGATTAATAAAGTTCTATCTAATCTAATCTAATGTACAGTGAGTGGGTTCAGCCGTGCAGCGTGATTGGTCAGAAACACTTCATAGCCACTCTGAAAATACCCGTTAAGCACAACAAAATGCATTTTATTGCATTGTGACCAACGAGATTCTCAGTGATCTCTCTTTTCTTCTTTACTTGCAAGGCTGAGAGACAAACATAGGTCAGTCCAGGAACACATGAAGAAAACTTTCATGCATGGAGTCAAAAGTTGGATGTTAGATCATGTCTTCAGAGAGTATTTTAAGGCAGAGATCAATGTTCGCTTTACGTGGGCGTGTTCGGGTTGGGACTTGCAGCTTTGAGCTCAAATTGTGGATTCGTGTGCAATCGTATACATTTTGAGAAATCAATTTTTTGTGCTTGGTAGCTCGCCAGATGAACCTTTCTCATCACACGCTTTGAGCAAGAAGCAGCCAAATCTGCATCATCTGTTTTTGGACCTCTCTGTTTGTTTATCATTATTCTTACAGGATTTTTTTAAAGACAAACAGCACGTGAGCACAACAACTGTTTGGCAGCCCACTTGAGAGTCCCAGATGTCGGAGCCTCCCACTGGCACATGAACAAACAGACTGATATGTAGATTTTTCAGCAACATTAACACGCAGCTGTAAAGCAGCTCTGACAGACATAAACATGGCGGGGTGTTCCCCGTAATGGATAAGCCAGCTCACGCAAGTTCATCATTTCTACCGTCTGATGATCGTAACTCACTGCAGCTACATGAAAAGGACAGGGCTGATTTAGTAAAAGTCATTCCTGTTCAGTCGGGCGTGAGAAAGTACCCACCTCCAATATTTTGTGAGCTTCTGTTGTGATAATTGTGGTAATTTTGAGGCATATTTTCCACTCATTTTGCATCCTATCTGCTGTTTTCAACCCCTTTCTAGTAACTGTAGATATTTGTGTTAATTTTGTGCAGTCGGAAATTATATTTCAAATTAAAGCCTTAATTTGTTGGTCAACTATTTTTTCAATATTTTGATTACAGGCTTGTGTGGGGCAAACATTAGGTTATTTTTAACCACTCTGACAACTATACTGTAAACATATTGGAACAAACATAGTAACTGAACATGCATAATATTTTACGTAACACCCATAATTTGCTTCTGCAAACCCAGAACTTATCCAACACACCCACTCTGGATGTTACAATAGTACTGGACAAATGCAGCTACAAAGACACTATAGAAATAAGTACAGTGAAATTTTCCTAAATGGGTACTGCACATCTGTAAAATACTTCAAGTTAATTTAAATATAATCAGTTACACCAACTTAAAAAGGTCGAAAATTTCTGAGACATTAAAATGATTGAACTAGGATTTTCTAAAGTATAAGTTTTGATACAGTTTTATTCAATTATGTTAGTATTTGTCACCATGCTCTTCACTCTGAAGCCACCCATGGGTATAACTACTACAACTACTGTTCAGGTCCTTAAGTTTTGTGGCGTACTGTATTTGGGTCTCACGTGGTTACTTAAACACATAATTTTAATCAGATGAGGGTATACATACTAACAAGCGCAGCTATATAAAGTACTCTACAAGTTCTTGAAATATCAAAAGTTTGAATGTGTTCTCACGAGGGTCACCACATGGGCTACACAGGAAACAGGGAATGTCTTTGGACGTGAACACATGAGCAGCAGCGAGGCCAGTACGAGCGCTTTGGTGTTTGTGGATTTTAAATTGTTTTCTTGAATGAAAAAGATGTGCTCGGAGGTTAGACAAGTTTCAAAATGCAGCAGGTCAGGTTGCTGTTTGATTAGTGACATTATTATCCTGTAATAATTCACACTTTGCATATTGTTTACACAGAGTACTAAAGTAAACCAGTGGAGCTATCAAACTGAGACACAGTGTGAGGCTCTTAAATACAAGGCCATCATTAATTCACATTTGAACTTTGAATGTGTCAAGTTCACTCTGCTACCACATGACTGTACCGCACAGTGCAGCTCAAATCACATCATCAAGTTTGCAGATGACACAACAGCGGTGGGTCTCATCACTAACAATGATGAGTCTGAATACAGAGAGGAGGTACAACACCTGGTGGACTGGTGCCAGAGCAACAACCTGTCTGTTCAGGAGACTAAAGAGATGGTTGTTAACTTCAGGAAGACACCCCACTGCACATCAATGGATCTGCTGTTGAGTTGGTCAACAACGGGAAGTTCCTGGGTGTGCACATATCAGATGACCTCTCCTGGAACCTGAACACCACCACCATCACTGAAGAAAGCCCAACAACATCTTCACTTTCTCAGAGGCTGAACAAGGCCAGTCTCCCTCCTCACGTCCTCACATCTTTTTACCGGGGAACCATTAAGAGCGTTCTCATTCCTCACTATCCAGTACGGGAACTGCACTTTCGCTGAAAAGAAGTCTCTGATAGTGAGAACAGCAGAGAGGATCATTGGAGGCCCTCTCCCAATCATTTCCTAGCTCATCATCAAACACATCATCCGATGTGCAATCAGCATAGTGAATGACACTTTCCACCCCTCACATGCACTGTCCTCCCTTCTTCCATCTGGCAGACGGTTTCACAGCATCAAAACCATAACGGCCAGACACTGCAAGAGCTTCTTCCCCCAAGCAGTCAACTACCACCAAAGGGCCGATAAACATAAACGCTTTTACAAACAAACACTTTGACAAACATAAAGATCTCTACAAACATTTTTACAGTACTCACCAGAAGACTCAATAATAACAACACAAACTTTCACATCTACATTATGCTACACTTGCACATTTTACATCTTTCACATGTCTTCGTCTTGTCTTGTCCACAATATCCTGACCATAACTTGAACATAGTATTCAATACCAACATCTCACTTTACTGTAATTACACATGATCACTTTGTATTGTCTTTTGTCCGTGTTTATTATACATAGATATAGTTAGTATTAGTACCTTTTCATCTTTTTCATTTTACTTAAATATAGTGAGTTATTAATTTTTTGTCATTTCTAGTTTTATATCCCCTGTAGATATATTTTGATACCCTTATAAATGCACCATGGGGGGCTTGGGGTGAAATGGCATTTCGATAGATACACTCTATACTATATATATTGTTGTATTGACAATAAAGATCTTGAATCTTGAATCTTTTCCCGCCATCTATTCTGGAATGAGCATTGTCACAGTTTTAAGTCCTGTGTGATGATGAAGCAGAAGACAAACTAAGTGTGGACAGATTATTAATAATATTAGTCTGATAATGTGATTTATTTAGCTTAAAAGATAGAATAAGTTTGAGATTAACCTCATGCAGGACAAATGTACTTATTTATGAGCAATTTTCCAAACTTCTTATAAACATAATGGAAAAAAAATTGTATTTGATAACATTTAATATTACAATAATGGATTACACAGAACTGGGCAATAAATGTCATTACACTAGATGTCTTTCTGAAAGTGCTGTAACTACGTTTAAGGAAGTACGTCCTTCACTGTTATCTTCTTTAGTGCCATGTAGCAGGACAAAGCAGAGCAGCTACCTTAACTCTACTCCCACAGAATGCAATACAATGCAAAACACCTTGAGGTGACTGTTGTTGTGAATTAAATTCAGTAACAACTGAATTTCATTTTTAGCTTATTCAGTAGTCCATCTAGTTTTTTTCCTCTAAATCTGCTGCTTGGTGCTGGTGGAAATGGTACTCCTGAGAGCTGGAAAGTGAACCAAAACTATCAATCTTCTTGGTCATAAAACAAAAAAAACAAAATAGATTTTTTTTATTCATGCTCTGTGGGGCTGAAGAGAAAGGCAAGAGAAAGGCAGATGTGGACATTGTACTCTTTTCATCCCATTGAAAAACTACAGCTTGAAGTCCTAAAAAAGACTTTAAAAGATAAAGAAAAACACAATGTTTAACAGTTTCACTGATTTTTGGAAAACATATTTTTTTACCAAGTCGATTTTGAAACATATTCCATAAAATATAAATGGAGCAACTGATACAATTGAGCTTTTTACACATAAAATATAATAAATGGGTTGAAAGGAAAGAAAGAACTTATGGATGCTACTAACCACTCTCCCGTCCTCCTGTCTTCATGCTGATTGAGTCTCCTCAGCACTCTCTCCTCTCTCTTCTCCTCCCTGCGCCTCCTCTGCCTCCTGCAGGCCAGTGCTCTGTAAAACTCCCTCTGTTTCAGCTCCTTCAGTCGCTGCAGGACAAGCAGAGTGATTAACAGAAGCAGATGCGGTCGTATCAGGGCTGCATTAAAAAGGAGATGTAAGAGGTCAAATGGATAATGCATTAAAAAGATGAATTTAAATGTTTAATTTGTGAGGTAAGTGGGTGGAGTTATCAGTCTTGTGTATTTGCTCTGTCTGTAAGCGTGTGTGTGTGCATTGTTTGTGCATGTGTGTCTATATGCACCGTCTAAGTCAGCCAGTGTCAGCTTTAGTAGAGTCCAGACCAGCTTAATTCACTTATTGAGCTCTGTCTGCAAGCTGTCTGCTGACCGGAGATACTGATACAGTGTGCGAGTGTCATTTGTGCCCGTGTGTGTGTGTGCCTATGTGTGTGTCACAAATAATAATAATGATAATAATATACCTGTGGGTTCACATCTCAAATAGACAGATGACAAGAGACAGACAGCGAGGCGGGCGGAGACACCAGCAAATAGATAAGCAGACATAAATAGACAGACAGATAAAACATGGAGGCAGGCAGGGAGACAGACGGACAAACAGAGGCACAAAGAGACAGGCTGGAAGACAGACACTGTGGGGTTTGTTAAAGTTTGTTATGTAGCCTGTGATTTTTCATGGAAGGTGTACATACAGTGTGAAGGGTGGACAGAATGACAGGAAGCCTCACGGTAGACCATAACAACGCGACAAACTAGGACTGAATCAACACTGTTAGCACACCGTCAACCGTTAAACTGTGAAACATGTAGACTGGTTTACAGCATATCAATATAAATACGAACATTTAAAAAAAAACAACCCAACACGTGATAGTTTCCTGCAATACCGATGATGTTGCCTATTAACCTGAGGTGGAATGAAGGCTATGTCTCTTTTGTGCAAACTGAGCCCAAATGCTCTTTTTTTGCTAACATTTGAGTGATTATAGCATCATATTTTTTAGCACTGATTTAGGCCACATTCATTCATAACACACACATTTACTGCTTACTTTTGAACCTATTTTTAACAACCTTTCACACACTTACAGGGAAATTCAGGGGATTCAAGGGAAATTTGGGGTTATGTATCGTGCCCAAGGACACTTTGACACTTTGTGGAATAGAGCCAGTGTCCTTCCAGATGGTCAAGCTGCACAAACTCCTAAGATACATTCATTCAGGTGAGCCCTACATACCAAATCATATCATAGAATGGAGACTACAATAATAGAGCCCTTGAAAAAGTATTTGCCCTCTTTCTGATTTTTTTCTTGCATATTTGTCACACATGTTTCAGATCATCAAAACATTCAATATCATATACAGATAATTCACATGATTAACTGATTATCCACATTTTCTAAGAAACTAACTTACATTTCATCAGCCACACCATGCTCAGATTAATGTTAGACCTTTTGAATAAATAACTCACTTAAATATAACCTGTCTGACAAAATGAAGTATACTATCAGATCAAAAAGCAACACATCATGCTGTGATGTAAAGAAACAGATGAGAAACAAAGCCATCCATCGGTCTGGAAAAACATTATAGAGCATTTTATAAGGCTTTGGGACTCCAGTGAACCACGATGAGAGCCATTATCCACAAATGGAGTAAACAGTGGGACAGTGGAACAGTGGTGAACCGAGTTGCTGGCCGACCAAAATTACTCTAAGAGCGCATCAACAACTCACCCAGGAGGTCACAAAGGAATCTAAAGAAAACATCCAAAGAGCTGCAGGCCTCAGTTGTCTCAGTCATGAGTTCATGAGTCAACAATAAGAAAGAGAGTGGGCAAGAATGGCATCCATGAGTTCCAAGGCAAAAAACTCTTTTGGGAAAATATTTAGTGGACTGAAAAGACAAAAGTCGAATCTTTTGGAAGGTTTGAGACCCGTTACATCTGGTGTAAAACTAACACAGCGTTTTAGGTCATACAAACAGTCAAACATGGCGGAGGTAGTGTAATGGTCTGGGGCTGCTTTGCTTCTTCGGGACCTGGCGACTTGCTGTAATTGATGCAATCACAAATTCTGATGTCTAACCATCAGTTTCAGAGTCATTACCAGTTGCTGCAAACATTTGATTACAGTTCTTGCAGGCAAGGGTGGCACAACAATTTATTAAGTTTAGAGGGCAGTTACTTTTTCACACAGGCACTTTTAGATACCGGTTTTTTTTCTCTGAATAAATGAACTGATCATTTAAAAACTGCGTTATGTATTTACTTGTGTTTAATATCAAAATGTGTTAGACTAACATGTTCAGATCATCAAAGAAAGATACAAAAATAAGAGATTAAGAATCACAGCATTATACATGCTCTACAACTATCTAGGAACATGAAAGTCGTGCATTGCGAACAGTAGAACCTCTTGGAGTCTTAGGATGATGCATGATGACATTTTTCATCCAAATTTCATGTTGTCACATTTAGCTGAATACAGTTTGAGTGATAAACAAAAATAAGCTATTTCCAAAAACAGAAACATGATATTAACAGATTTTCTGGTATTTCCCCTGTTTGTTTTCAGTAATTAATTTGCCCTGTGGTACACAGCAAGATAATGAAATCAGAGGAATTTCCATGTACTTTACATTGTGTCAGCTGGGATACTGAAGCGTCATTACTCAGATGTGAAGCTATCAACCAATGCATAGTGTTTATAAAACAAACACCTCCCTCCACTCCTAGCATCATGTAGCAAATTCCTTTTTAAAAATATATATTAGTCTTACTGCTGTATTAGCAGCATTTTTAAATTAGACATCTCCTTTGTGTGAATCTTTTTTGTGAATATTTCTAAAGGGAGCCCTGGTTCAAGGGATCCTTATGCTTAGTATTCATCTACAATCCAAGGTTGCATTTATTTCCTCCCATGCTGATATTGTTATGTAGTGGAAATGATGCTGACCAGGTGAACTGTAGATAAATCACTGCTGGCAATAGCAAACAGGGAATAACAACTTACCCCAAACATAATGTAATCAATTGGAGTGTTTCACTACACTACACCATATAGAACATGAACAATAGATTTGAAATTAAAGATCCACATCGAACAGTACAGTTTGTATACAAAGGGCTACTGTATCTAGAAAGTTCATCAGCTGTAAAGCATTGGCCGAAAGTCGGTAGTTTCACCTCGAGGATTATTGTTTCCTTTAAGATTCACAGTGCTGGAGTGCAGAGCACACACAAAAAATGATGTGTCACCTTTCTGCTACTGACAGGTCTCACTGTTTAATTTATATATTTTATAAGATAAAAAAAAATATGTCTCTGTAAGCAGCATATATAGGATAAACTGTGGATGGTTGTTTTTCTCAGTCTGGCTCGTTTCATCTGTCACAGCAGCACATCAAGCGCTGGTGACGTAGCCCCTCTGCAAACCACTTCATTTCTAAAAGAAAATGGGACCGTGACTGACCGTGAACCAAAAGATGGGCAGCTTAGCCGAGTGTGTGCAGGCTAGAGAATATTAGTGCTGGAAAATCCATTTCCTGCAAGTGTTGCAGTCTCGAACAATATGCCCTAAATGCTCCGCATCCTCAAGTAAACCTAATAACTCTGACACACAGCTAACTGTGAAAAATATTATGCCTCTTTCATCACTTGCAAGTGAACAAATGGTAATTGCAGCAAATACATTCCTCCCAGCACCTATAATTTTGTAAACACCCAAACAGCTGCAAGTTCTCAGAGTTGCCTTCCTCCACATCTCTCTTTTTTACATCCAACTGAAGAGAGAAAAATAATGAGAGAAGAATGTTGCAGCAATGCGACAATTTCACATATTTAGTTCAGGTAATCAGGCTGCATTATTGATAATCTTTGTGTTTTTATTTAATTAGGAGAATTTGTACTGTTGATTTTTAACCTAAAATGACCCTGTTTGCCTATTATTGGCTTTATAGATTTCATTTAATCTTTATGTCTTACTCTATAGAGGTATAGACTTCGGAATATCTTCATGAGGAATGTCTATGCATGCTGGTTAGTCAACCACAAGATTAAAACCACTGACTAGAGGATAATAACATCGATCACCTCATTACAATGCAATGTCCTGCTGGGAAATCTTGGGAAATAATAGGACTGAAAGCTATATTCTCTTGGGTGAAAGTCCAGCATCTGACTTACGCCATTGCACCTTCCTCCTCTGGACTTTGCTTCTTATCACAATTTACTAACTTGAAACCTGACACTTCAATGTGTAGATTTATGAGTAACCAACACACGTGGAGCTCTTTGGCATTGATTCTCCAAGCCTTTGAAATCTGCTACAGTAACGAACACCATTTTTCCAAATGAAATTTCCTCATTTGGTGTTTTGTTGATGATGGAAAACACATTAGTCTAATGTCTTCCTTAAGTCTTCAATGCAATTCTAGTGACTGTTTCTAGGATACGATTCACATCATTTTCAAACTTATCAAATATGTGACCTCGTACCCTATCGATATGATTACTGTCATCCTAGAAGACACTAGAAGAAATGTATCATCATATGATGAACGTAATCACTCAGAACATCTTTGTATTGATTTGTGTTGACCTTTTCCTCTAAGAAGACCCAAACCATATCGCCCCACCATCAACTATCTGTACATATAAAGTAAAACTGATGACTGCTTTTGCCCAATAAAATAACTTGTATATATTAAACATTGATTATTTCAGTGTTTACTCTTACTTTTTTATATTATTTTCTTTCTCTCTTTCTCAAGTGCAAATGGCCCGTGGATGATATGTATAAAATCCAATATAACATTATACAATTTTGGAGGGGCATAATACTGATATACAGTGGGCTGTGTCATCAGATAAAACCGCCATGCATTATGTGAAAAAAATCAATCGTTAATGGATTTTAAAAAAAGAGGAGAAGAATATTTGTTTTTGGCGAATCTTGTAAGTTGAATATCTGACTGGTTGTGATACTTAATCACATTGATACGAAAATCATTTTTAAAAAATCTAATGCTGCCATAAAACAGTTGTACTTATTGATTTGTAACATCAGCCACAATAGTCTAACACACACGAGCTGTGTAACTGTTAAAGGGGCAACAGTTTTAAACAAACTATCTAAATTTCTGCTTCAGATCTCTTGGTATATATATATATAAAGTATATAAATTCAAGAACTGTAACAAGGACCTAATATAAACTCATTTTAAACTTTATTAGGTACACCTGTTCAACTTCTTGATAATGAAAATATCTAATGAGCCAATCACATGGCAGCAACTGAGCAATTCAGGACAGGGGATGAAATGTGATTTAAGTGACATTAAGTGTAGGCGGTCAGAGTATTTCAACAATGGCTGATCCACTGGATTTTCACACACAACCAGCTTTAGGGATTACAGAAAACAGACCAGATAGAGAAACTCTACAGTGAGCGGCAGTTGTCTCGGTGGAAACACCTTGCTGATGTCAGAAGTCAGAGGAAAATAGCCAGACAGCATTTACCTGAGAGAGGCAACAGCAACTCGAATAACCAGTTACAAGCAAGATATGCAGAAGAGCATCTCTGAATACACGACAACCTTGATACTGATGGCTTTCAGCAAGAGAAGACCACAACAGGTGCCACTGATGTGGGCTAAACAAAGGTAACTGAGGCTACAGTTCACACAGGCTCACCAAAATTGGTCAGTAGAAGACTGGGAAATGCTGCTTCATAGGAGGAGTCTGGATTTATGTTGCAACATCTGGATGGTAGGGTAAAAACTTGGCATAACCAGCATGAAAACCTAAAGCCATCCTGCCTTTTATCAGTAGTCCATGCTGGTGATGGTGTAATGGTTTGTGGGATACTTGCTGCACGTACCTCCCTTTGAGCCTCTTAGCACCAACTGAGCATCGTTTGAACTCTACAGCCTGCCTGAATGTTGTTGCTGACACTGTCCGTTCCTTCAAGATCATAGTGTGCCCATCTTTTCCAACAAGATGTAATGCACCATGTCACAAAGCTTAAGTAATCTCACACTGGTTTCTTGAACAGCACAATGAGTTCACTGTATTTCAGTGGCCTCCAGAGTAATGGGACCTCAGTCCAATAGTGCACCTTTGGGATGTGGTGGAACGGGAGATTCTCATTATTATCATACAGTCACAAATCTGCAGCAACTGTATTACGCAATAATGAAAACGTGGACTAAAATATCTCAGCGATGTTTCCAGCACCTTTGTGAATCTATGTCATTAAACTTTAAAGTAGTTCTGAAAGCTAGAAGTGTGTGCCTAATAAAGTGTCTGTTGTGTGTAATGTTGTTGAATACGAATATATTTAAAAAGTAGATCAAAACGTATATTTCAACACACATAAAGTTGTTCAAACTTCTGGTTTCTTCTCTTGAGTGTGTGCTTTCCCTCTCGCTCTCTACCACAGAGAGCTAATTACTGTAAACTCAGCTTTTTTATTTTTGTTTTTGCTTTTTTTTTTTAGCACCACTTGGTCAAAAGATGCTTTGATACATTTTCCCTGCTCATCACAGAGGAAAGAAAAACCCGGGCTTTATGGTTTGATGTTCTGCTTGCTTGTCTTGTTTGCCTATATGTTCTACTGCTGTGCGGTGTGTGGGCCAGACCATCAGGTCAGCTGCAGACGCTTTGGCCCAGTGTTTCACCCATAAAACTAAACCTTTGGGGGCCCTTGTTCCATATGCATCTTTGCTTCGTGCCACTCAACATTCCCACCAGCGTACTGTTCACTAATCCACTCACACATTCTCGGTACTGATGAAACTGACTTCCAGAGCTCACGGTCGTCTTTGTGTTGGTATTTTTATGTTAATTTCATGTTTTTTGTTAAAATAAATTAGTATTTACTGGCCTTCACCCTGTGTCTCTGTCTCTTGTCATGGCTTCTGAGCTGAGGTCTTGGCAATTTGCATATATTAAGAACATTATTATCCATATTAATCACATTATAATAGTGGGTTACCAAACAACGGGCTTTGCCTAGTGCTACTCTGTCACCATGTCCACTCCGAGTAAAAAAAAAAAAAGAAGAAGCTAATCCTGTCATAATGTAACTGTCAATTCTTCCATGAAATGAATCAGAAGTGCTGCAATTTTTAGTCATAGTGGTCATGAGGATGGATACGGTTCTGTGTTAGTGGGATTTTGTAGACCACAGCGAGTGTGCCGTGTGTCTGAAATCAGACTCGAGTGCTTGTTGTGGCACTGGGATGTAATAAATCCATGACCTTGGTCTGGAAGGTTTAAGGTGTTCTGTGGCAGGATAAACCAGACCTCTTGGTGCCTTGTTAAGGTGGCATGACTCACCTGCCTGTGGTGATGGTCGTAGGAGTTGATGTGGTTGTCAAACTGTTGGTGTCTCAGATACTGCTTATCGCAGAGCTCACAGTAAAACCTCGAGTCCCCCTCCTCCTACCGAGAGACAAAGGTGAGAAGGAAATCAGACAAGGAGAAAGGAGTGAAGTCTTAATATGAAAATATCATTTCTTATATTGTGTCTGTGTGGTGACCTTGGGAGTTATTGCTCCATTAACAAGACATATGGCTCTTTATTCTCAGTTTATGATGATTTTTTATTAGAAAAATATTCATTTTTTAAATGGTACTTTTTGAAGCATGAAGCATATTATTTTCTTTATTTCATGTGCAAAAGGATTCTGGTTAGTGCAAAGGGAGTACAGTGTGAAAAAAAGGAGGAAAAACAAAGATGAAGCTGTATCACACAAAGTTTCTTTCCAGATTAATTTTCAGCAAACTATCACAGTTTTATCTCTTTAAAAGTTTGGCTATAGCTTCCTCCTATACACACTTTTCCCTTTGGACTTTTGAAAATGAAAGATTTTAAGAACAGACTTAAATCATTCTTTTTAATAAAGCTTGTAATTAGGGCCAAATCAAACTCAGACTTTCTGTGATACACAGACCATTTCTTTCCCACCCTCCTCTATTATAGGCGTTTGTACACCATCTCTGCATGTCATAAAACTGTGTCTTCTCTGTCCCAGGCCAGTGTGTGTTCTGTTTCCCTGTGCCTTTTTTTTTTCTTCTCACCCCCGAGCTGGTCAGGACAGATGTTTGCCCTGCTTGTTCTGCAGAGGTTTTGTTCTGTTAAAAGGGAGTTTTCCTCTCCCTCTGTGTAGTACTTGGTCACTGGGAGCCATCTAATTGAAAACCTACTGGGTTTCCATACTGGTTGTCTGTTTTTCTGTGCTGGCCCTGTAACAGGCTGGTGACCTGTGCAGGGTGTACCCTGTCTCTCGCCCTATCATAGCTGGGATACACTCCAGCAGCCCATGACCCTGAATTGGATAATCAGAATAGAATGGATGGATGAAGTGAAATGAACTAACTGAATGCATTGACTGGATATTGAAACCTTGACTCTTCAGTATGTCCTTTGACATCATGGTATCTTGAACCCTGGCAGGAAGGTGAGGGTGAAAGACGAAGGACCCCCCAGGTTTATACAGTAGCAGCCTGTCACTGACAAGAGTAGAAACCCTACCTACCCTATCATACCTTGCTTTATCATCTATTTTAGACGGGACCATAAGTTTCTAAATGAATATCATGGTATAATGCACAAGACTTGCAACCAGTGACTGAGACTGTAAACTCTTCTTAAACTGTTACTCAAGTCATAGTCTGAGTGAAAAGTGAAGTCATATTCTCAAGGTCTTCTTTACAATTGGACTTCTTTTGTGCAACAAGAGAAGTCACCCGAGTGCTGGTCATTAGAGATAATGCAGATCAGAGATCTTTTCGATTTGTCTATGTGTGCTGACCGTAATGAATTTTAGGTAATGGTTTTTCTGTGTAAACACTCTGCTTATTACAGAATAAGAAAAAAGATTTGTAAACCCTCTAATATATATTTTCTACATATCTCCAACAAACATGAACTAAACTTCACCAGATCTGCACACAAGTCCTCAAAGGCAATAAAGAGAACCCAATTAAACAAATGAAATGAAAATATCATTACTGGTGATTGTATTTTTCTGGGCTAGATGACATTTTAAAATACGTAACACTATTCGGATCACAAGGCATGCAGCTTTTAAAAAATGTAGAGTTTGTTAAATTAGATTGAAAATAGTCATTCTCACAATATCCCAACAGAAATTACAAACAATACTTATACTAAAGCACTGTAAAGTATTAACTAGCTAATATGTTTTTTGTATTCAAATCATCTGATCAAGATGTTAAATACAATGCATAAATGTATGTGAAGGCCCTGAAGGTGTTTTGAGAGAAATAGCTGATTACAAAGACGTAGATTGTTATGCAAAACCAAACAAACTAACAAAGCCTCAGAGTTACACAGAATGTTTTTATTTTCATCTTATTGCACAGGATAAAAAATAAATATATAAACTTTAAGGACCTTCGGGCTACATGATTTAACTGTGGAAAAGCCCAGTTTGCATGATGAACACTTTTAGTGTTGATACCCTTAAGGAATTTGACTTCTGCCAAGTGGAATTTAAAATACAGATGTTTTTCATATTGCCATTTTCACATAAAGAGGACCAGTGATGCTCATTTTCATATCCTTTATGTAATCTTCAGGTCTGCTACTGTAGCTTTGATTCTCATTGTTCAAAATCAAGGAGTATTTTGATGTTATTATCTGCACTGATGCAGCCACTTTTAGTTTATGCCCTGTCTGTAGCAAGGTATTTTAGCATCCTTTCCTCTTCCTTTAAGCCAGCCTTGCCCCTTATTAGCACAAGGATTGAATGTGCCTACAGCCAGGGCTGTGTGCTTCAGAGGAGCATATAAGGGATATCCCATCTGTCTGATGTCTTACAGGTCCAAGCTTACAAAAAATGAGCATTTAGCGCAGTCTGAAACCTTTTCGCTCACAGGGATCAAATGCACATACAGTGACTTCAAAATGTGGCAATGTTTAATATGAGCATTCCCAATTCTAACAGTAAATAGTTAACAGAAAATAATAAAATAATAATAAAAGCACTTTAGCTGTGCATTTTGTAAAGTGTAAATGTCTCTTATGACCATGTCTAAAGCAGATTTACCTCATATACTCTTTCCTTATCGAAGAAAAAAGAAGAGAAGACAGAAACAAAACTGCATTAAGCCGCCTGCTGATTAAATTATTAGTCATAGACTCGAAAAATCAGTTCACAGCCATTTAGATTATGTAAAGAAAAATAAAATCTGACTTATCAGATAAAGATGGAAAAGTACATTTCAAAGTGTGTTTGCATATTTATAAATCATGATTTTGAAAGTTGGCCATAGGAAGCAAGATGAAAACAAAATGTGTTTGTGGAAAATCCCTCTGTGTTGGCTGGAGTGGTAAATTACAGCCATAACCAGTATCGGTTGTAAAATGCGTTTATGGGGATGTGTATTCATCATACTCAAGCTTTTAATTTGTTACCTGTCATATTGTGTGTGCGTGAGTGTTTGTGTCTGTGTGTCTGTGTGTGTTCATTGTTGAGTTTGTCATTTGGAGTGATGCTGTCTCTATTGCTTCCGATGGCTAATGGGCCCTTCAATCACAATTATTGATCAGCAATCTGAGTGTCTGAGTGAACACACACACACACGAGCTGATACACACCCAAATATACACGCACAAAAAAAACACACACAGTTTTGCAAACCCATATGTGATAATTTCTCTTTATACAGAACATACAGAAGTGTGTCTAAAGCCCACGTGCTTTCACAAATGCAATGCAAGATTTTAACACGCACGCACACACGCAGACACACACATTCTCCATTAATGGAAGATTGATTTATCTTTTAAAGCAGGGAAAACTCAATCTGTGACACGACCTTCAGTGGAGGTCTGGGTACTCGGCTGTGTGTGTGTGCGTCACAGATTGCATAAGTTGGAAAATTCCAACTTTTTGTCTCTAAAAATCGAGAAGCTTCCTGAGCACTGTGAGCATTGTGAAGAGGTCTGTGGGAGAGGAGGGGCCAGAGACAGAAAGACAAAGACAGAAAATGTGATAGAGGACAGACAGAGACAAACAGAAAGCCTGTGACAAAAGCAGAGGGGAAACGCAGACAACCTCCCTTAATCCCTCAACGTCCCAGAACGGCTGCCATCCTCTGCCATTACCACAGGGATCTCCTCCTTTACTCAGCATTAGCTCATCAGAGAAGTGATTACCGTAGCTACCATAATTCCATTAACTAACGAATTTATGTTGCATTATTCTATTACACAACGAAACATTACATTTGCATTATTTAATCAAAGACGGCATAGGTTTGCATTATGTCATTAAAGATGTCGTTGGGTTGCATTAAGCCCGCTGAGGATGGGTTTCCATGTCCATTACACATGACTTGCTGGATAGTTTGGAAATTGCTGCTCAGTAAACTCAAATTAAAACACATTACAGTTTAGAAGCTTTTGGTGCACTGCTGTGCAACAAAATAAAGATGTTTTCTTGCTGTTCTTTGAAAATCGCATTCCTTTTTTAAAATTTTATTTTATTTTGTTTTTTTACTTCAGTTGTGGGAGAGCTTTGTGGAAGAGTTTGGGAAATTGTCTGACCTGTAGAGTGAATGAATTTTTTAAAACCCTTTGGACAAACTCAGATGCACAGTTGTGAGGAGAAAAAGTAACCTCCCAAATCCACACTACATCTTACAAGCACAGTTTTCAGTGTGAAAAACAATTTCTCAATAGCTGCTTAGTCAGACCACATGTATTTAAAAAAAAAAAAAAACTCAGCTAACTGAAGTAGAGGTGAGTCACGACATATCAGTCAATCTCCAAAAGCTGGTAAACAACTGCATTTAAAAATACTGGCTGCTGCATTCCCTGCTTTAATTTCCAGTTTATTTCAGTGCTCAGGTGTTTGGTTCATGAGAGAATGAGCATAACATCTCACTGTTCTGCCTTGTGACCTAAGTGGGTGATTGGTAATTCATCCAACTGTGTCTGTTCAAGCATTACTCAAACATTATTCAGTTGCAGATGAGTTTGAAGAGACTTAAGTAAAAGTAGCTGCAGTAACATTGTCTTGGCTGTTTGACTCTCTATGTCTTTACACACCACTGTGCATTTAAATATTACTTATTATTAATCTCTGGCTCTCTTCCATAACATGTTTTTTGTCCTGTCTTTCTCCCATTATCCCCAAACCGTGGCGAACGATGATGTCCCTCCATGAGGATAGTGCCTTGCTGTTAAAAGGGAGTTTTTCTTTCCGACTGTCACCAAGTGCTTGCTCATAAAGGGTCATCTGATTGTTGGGGTTGACTGCATTATTGTAGGGTCTTTACCTTACAAAATAAAGCGCCTTGAGTCAACTGTTGTTGTGATTTGATGCCATATGAATACAACTGAGCTGAAACTGAATTGAATAAATCTGTTTTCCCTTCATGAGACACCAGGAAAAAAAGAAAAGAAAAAA